ATACACTTTCCTGAAATAAAACTATGTACCCACGAAATTGCTAATTGCAGTATCGTGGATAACATAATTAAATTCGCTTGGTTGGACCATCGGAGCCTCGAACCGCATACTGGAAAATCAGCAGGCCGCATTCCTACTAACTGAACCACGAGCACCCCCACAATAAGGAAGGATCCTAAAGACACCATATTGGTGTCCAGCTGGAACTTCAGGCCTTCCCCGGGGAGCCGGAGAAAATACTAAGCCAACACGGCACTTGGGAGGGATATGGGGACAAGGAGCTGGGATATGACGGAGTGAAGTAATGGTAACCAACCACATGGACATCGGGAATCGAGCGCCGACCTGCACCTGTATCGACCTTCGCTGTACCGACCATTTGGGTCAAAAGACCCATAGGATGCTTGGGCAATGTCACATCCGCCGCCAAAACCAGAAAGCTCTTTGAATTTGCACCTCGTTTGTGTGTGTGGAGCAGAGTGGGTAGAGGCAGCGACTGTTCTCTGTACATGCTCAGTCTCTAGTTTCACTTTAGGATGACGATTCAATCTTTACGATGATTGTCTCCCTTTACAATCACCAGGGAGTTGGTGATTTTTGTATTGTTGCCGCCGAAGGCTGCTAGTTTATTGTGCACCCCATACTCATCCTGTGAGCAGTAGCACGAAAAGCATTACAGAGGGCACAAAAGGTCTTTATCAGACTGTTGACCGGACCACACACTAGAAGGTGAAGGGACGACGACGTTTCGGTCCGTCCTGGACCATTCTCAAGTCGAGGTCTTTATCAGACCTCAAAGGAGATTATTACATAAACAATTTCATCTATCGTTTACACCTTATAATTACAATGTCAGCTCGTTACAGAGACTGTTCTATTTCAAGAGCTATATATTTATTGGTGCACAACCGGTCTGGAGCGTAAACAAAAATGTCTAAGTGTCGTTGTTGGCTTGCCATTAACTTTTTGCGAAGTTCATGTTATCCAGTCTATAATTTGGCTTGTATTGTCTGCTGTGAACTTTTAATTTAACTTTGCTCTAGGCCGCCTGGCAGCTGAGTGGACAGTGCTTTTGATTTGTAGTCCTGAGGTTCCGGGTTCGATCACCGGTGGAGGCAGAGACAAATGGGCAAAATGTTTCTTTCATCCTGATGCGCCTGTTACCTAGCAGTTAGACAGCTGCTACGGGCTGCTTCCTGGGGGGGGGGGTAACAAAAAGGAGGCCTGGTCGAGGACTGGGCCGCGGGGACGTTAAGCCCCGAAATCATCTCAAGGTAACAAGATAAGATAACGTCATCAGTTGAGTCGTGTGTAAATCGTTTTTCATTCATAAACAGGGGGTTTGGCGGGTGCATGGAATGGACTTTGGGCATTTGTTTAGAGGACGGGCTGGCTAGGGAGTCCAGTATACGTGTTCGATCCCATCGTAGGGACTCGTATATTTTCTGATACATCACGTTGTTGTGATGTACTGTGCACAAGACCCCACAAGACATGCTCTGAGGGACATAGCACTCTCTGTGCCCGATCCTCGTAACTATAATTGGTGTGGAAGAAGGTAGTTTATCCATCTCCCTACTTTCCCACTTTATATCCTTTTATCAAGAACTTTTAAGTCCATATATTGCCTGAATTTACTTGGGGGTCGTTAATTCAAGTGGCCTCGATGATGGCAAATCATGTCAATAGTTCCTTTATTAATTGAGGATTTTTGCTAGTTGAATTTTAAACTGAATTTTAAACTGAATTTTTAAACTGAATTGTTTAAACTGAAAAAAAGTTGTCTTAGCGCTTAGATCGGAATTTTGCTGGTCGGCCTGTTCCCTCCCAGACCACAAGGAAATGTATATGTTTATCTCTCAGAATGTTCGGTAATATGTTTATTGTTTGTGATGTGTGTCTATGTATGTATTAACACGATGTACTGAACGGGGTGAGAATAGCTTGAGCTACTTCATCCCTTTGTGTGTATTTTACCTCAATAAACTTATTTCAATTTCCCAGACCACGGGCACCAAATTCTTTCCTTAACAAACAAATTGTTGCGGATTTTTTTTATAACTTTTTACTTTCCATTTTGTTTCAAAATTTATAAAACAAGTTACGGCAATTTCTAGTTAATATTGCGGATCTGTTATTCATCAATTTCAAATATATTGTTGAATCAAATTAAAAAAACAATTTAGTCCATTAGTTATCACAAATTGGATTCTGAATTGGGCCGCATGTGATGGCGAGAGGCCGCATGTGATGATCGTTCTGGCCTAAACACTGTATCCTGGATTGTGGAGATGTTACTGCTGGTTTTGTTGAGGGTTAGATTAGCTTAATTATTGTGCATCAAATACCCATCGTGTGGGTGGTGGTGGAAAAGGTTACAGAAGCACATACGGAACCCTAAAATTCATTTAGGTAAGCAAGTTAGTGTTGATAAGCTAGTTGCATAGATTAATGTATATATACAGATTTTTATAGCATAAGGTGTTCAAGAAATGGACCATAAGAGTCTCTAGCTAAGTGGGAAAGTCCAATGTATCGTTTCGTGCTTTATAAACAAGGTTAAGTCTGATAGGTGCAGAAGAAAGGGGCATTACCCGAGCTGCGTACGTGTATCGGGTCAAAAGGGGGGTGGGGGCATGGCTTGCAAGGGGGCGGTAGCCCCCAGGTTACAGAAGGGGAGGTATTGTGTACAGGAGACTTGCTGATCCTACAAAACTGGTGTGGTGCCCAGGTGTTTGTATGTGGGCCTTCGGGCTGCTCCGGGCTGCTCCAGGCAACAACTTGTTGGAGCACGTTATAAGACAAAACTGGCCGGGAGTAGAAAAAACTAACTCCCAGAATGCACTACCAGCGTACTCCAGGTCTAGTCTTAGCTGGCCACAATTGGCAGCCGAACATGCACGTTCTATTGTTAAGGGTTCGGCGATATAAGTGTTTTGGTTTGGCAGTCCCAGTGGCGTAGTGGTAAGACGCTCGCCTGGCGTCTTACCACTTTCCTGGTCTCGCATCCTTCGCGAGCACTTTGTCCTGGGTTCGTATCTTGGCCGGGGAGGATTTACTGGGCGCAAATCCTTAACTGTAGTCTCAGTTTAACCCACCAGTAAAATGGGTACCTGGTTGTTAAACGATTAGGCGAGGCCGTATTCCAGGGAAAATTAGGATTAAAGACTTGCCCGAAACGCTACGCGTGCTACTGGCTGTAAAAGAATGTAAAAACTCTTGTATATATAAATACGTAAATAAATAAAAATATGATTTCGTATGATTTCAGATGCTATTGGTCTATAGTCTTTGTACAAATGTTTCACACCTTTGTGAAGCAGGGCTTTATCACCTGTTTATATGTCGTCCTTCTTTAGAATATTACTGTGGGTGTGGGCTAGTGATATAGGTGTGGGTGGGTGTACTAATAGCGTGCCTCAGGCTAGCGAGGCGTTGTCTAAGTATAGTGAGGACTTCATTGTGTTGTGGCGTGAACAGGATGCTCAGTGATAACGCCGAACACACCACTACCACCACACTGCTGCCTCTGTACCTCCACACCCTGCCACTGTAACCAAAACTACGCGGATACGATCAAAACATAAAAAGTACCGAGGGGAATAAACAAGATGGACAAGGACAGCTTTTTCAAATTAATAGAAAGTACAAAGAGGACATAGAGGTTAGCTGGAAGTGCGAATTTGTCAAAGAAATGTAAGGAAACAGTCTGTATCCTGTACGGATGTCCATAAATAGTACCGTATACTGTATACTGAAAGAAGTAGAAGCCACCTCTACCTACAACTTTAAAGCCAGATTTGACAAAGAATTCGAATGTTAGGATAGTTAACTTATAATGCAACAGGTACAACGAGGCTAGTACGTGGGACATAAAAATGTAGACCTTGCTTAACCGTAATGACAGATTGGTGAGTATTGATTGAAAAATACCACACTGCTGCCTATGTGCTACACCCACCCAACCCGACCTGTGTGGTAGACTCGCCCATTCCAGCCCCCGCCCCACCCACTGTTCAACACCCACCCACCTCGGCTTCCGTACAACACCCAATTGGACACAAGATGTGTGTGTCTGGGTTCCTTGCTTATTGTGGGAGCTGTTGGCTCAGTAGGCATGGTTGCTGGCTCCTACACTTGTGGTCTGCAGTTCAAGGCTCCAATGGTCCAAGTGAATGAAAGTCTTGTTATCCACGAGAGGATGAGGGGGGGGGGGGAAGGATAATAATTTTGTGGGGGGCCTTAAGACCTTTTTGATGGCCTACTAGGTGTTATTAATTTCAGTTATTCTTAGGCAATGGATGATTGTTTGACTCATTTAGTGGTAATGGATGACTAGAGCTTGGCCACTGGGGCATTCACATTTTACTACATTTCAGGAAAACATGGAATGCACTTGCACTGCACATTTATAACTCTTGCATAAATATCACTATGAGCTTTGTAACTGCATTTTTGTATTAGTTTCTTCTAATTAGCACTCTCCCCACCTCTCCTTGCCTCCTCCTCCTCCTCTCCATCTCACCCTCCCCCTTTCTATCTCGCCCTCCCCCTTTACCCTTATAATGGCTTCTTCAACTTTTTTAAGTTGCCTCTTGATAAGGGTCCAAGGGGATGCAGAAACATCATGATTCATGTGTGGTCTGGGTTATATGTTGTCACCTATGTTACTGTGACGTATTCTATGCATCTGGGAGTGTTATTTCCTAAGCCGACCTTACATTTGTCTGTACTGTATTAAATTGTCTGTGCCAGACCATTCCTAACATTCTTTTAATGACGTTTCTGTATGGGATGGTTATATGAATGTCATATGAATGACATTGTTATATGAATGTTATCTGTATGAATGACATATGTTATATGAATGTCATCTAAATATAGCACTGTGTAAATATATAAATTAAGTTTTTTTTTAGTTGCCTTTATTAAATAAATACAGTATGTCATGTGGTTTAAAGAATACTTAGTAATATGTACTGTACTTCACTTTATTACAGGCCTCTACGATTGATGGCCGCCGAAAAGGAGCATGTCTCTTCTGTCAGGAATATTTCATGGACCTGTATCTCTTGGCTGAGCTCAAGACTATCTCTCTTAAGGTCACCACAGTGGATATGCTCAAACCACCACCAGACTTCAGGTTTGTGTTATCTGGTAATAAATTAACTAAATGCTAACATAACATTTTAATATATTTAAATAATATTTTATAGCAGCATATTCATTTACACGTGATGATGTAAAAGTTATCTTAAAAATAAAGAGAGAGAGAGATAGAGAGAGATAGATAGATAGATAGATAGATGTAGATAGATATAGAGATAGAGAGAGATATGAGAAAATCTTTGGTCTTACAGGAAATATTATTACTTTATTCAAAATTCCTCTTGGGGTGGGAGCTTTGGTGTTAAATACGCCAATACAAAAATAGCACAAAATAATGGATATACTGTAACTGGATTACTTTGGATTTAGGAAAACCTGTTTAAATACTTATTTAAAAACAAGAGTTGTTGATTTATGAAACAAATTACCCGGGTAATATGGTAGACGTGTGAGCAATAGATTGTTTCAAATATTGGTTAGACTTGGGGGCGCTTGACAGCTGAGTGAACAGCATTCAGGATTCATAGTCCTGAGGTTCTGGGTTCGGTTCCCGGTGGAGGCAGAAACAAACGGGCAGAGTTTCTTTCACCCTGATGACTGTTCACCTAGCAGTAAATAGTACCTGGGAGTTAGACAGCTGCTACTGGCTGTCTATAAATAAAGGCAAAAGTCTCTGGGGATGTGTAACAAAAAGAGGCTTGGTCGAGGACGGGGCCGCAGGGATGCTAAGCCCCAAAATCATCTCAAGATAGACATACAACATATACACCTGGATTCAGTTAACTACTGTATATGGAACTGACCCCAATTCATTGCAACCCGAGATTTCTCTAGGCTGCATTTCCCACGCAGTATGAACTAATTTCACTTTGTGAAATTTTCATTTCAACCTATATAAAATTATATAGTATATATAAAAATCTATGTAAAAAGTATATAGTATATATAAAAACCTATAGTATGAAAGACAACTATAAAATGAACATGTCTGCAAACAAAATGTAACTACGTCTAACACATTTCTCTCATCCCCCAGTCTCAAAACTCATTTTGAAAAGGTAGCAGGGTGAACCTGAGTGAACAAAAACCTTGCCAACTTGAAATGAAAATAAACCATAGACTTTGGTTTTAAATATTTTTAGTAGCTTTCCCAAGGCTCCAATCATTTCTTGTAATACTGAGTCCATCTGCAAAAATCATCAAAAACGTAATTGAAGCCATATTGATAGTTAACAATCATACTTAATATTTTTCCATGCTTCTATGCTTTCCATTTCACTGAGTGAAATTATTTCAACCTGTCATATGAAGGGCAACAACCAAGAGAACCTGTCTGTAAAGAGATTTAACCACATCTTGGATATTTCCCAATCCTCAAAATCTTATTTTGAAAGGAAAAAAAAAAGACCCATATTTTACTGAACAAAAACCTCTGTAACTAGAAATAAAAAGAGAACTGTAGAATTTGGTTTTAAATATGCTCAGTGGTTTTCCTAAGGCTCCAACTATTTCTTGTTATGTTGCCTCCATCTGTGAATTCAGTCCCATGTTCCTAAGCAAATCCATACATCTCCCGCTTCTTGTTCGTCAAATCGTGTGAGAAAATTTGGCATGGAAAGTGTGTGTTCTGACCAGAGATTTGGCGAATTGAATTTTGTTGAATCGAGGTTCCACTATTTATATGAATGAGTTTAAGTAGAGATAAACAGGAGCTGCCACTGTACATCCAGTTCCTGAATTATTCTTCTGATGTTCTGTGTATTTGTGTCCAGTTCCTTAAAGTTGAGCTACATTCACTTTGATTAAAATTTTCAGACACCTTAGGGTAGGCCGCAATCAATTTACCTCATTTATCCAAGCTGGTCCATGAACATAAGCTTAAGATTCTAATGTGTACTAATTTATCCTCTTTTGGAACCTATTATCCTGCTTAATAGGATTAGCAGTACTATATATTGTATCCAACCCATTCTCTCAATTTGTCACTCCATAAGAAAAACAATTTTGCTGGACAAGAAATGCAAGCAACCCTCCTAATATTGAGGCCAATGCATTGAAAAGGGCAGTACAGCATGTAGGTGCTTTCATTTTTACTAATATGTTGCATTTTCAACATGCTGACTCCTCTGAAAACATAACATATTATGCGAGAGGATGGGTTGGTATATTAGCCGTTATTCAGGTTAATAGGATGATCACATTTTTATTACCAGACATGTAGCATTTTTGCATTAATGTACTCAGATATTTTCTTTTTGTTTGTCAGGTCAAATTTTGAGGCGACTCCTCCACCCATCCTGATAGACAATGGACTGGCTGTCCTAGAAAATGACAAAATCGAGAGACACATCATGAAGAACATCCCTGGTGGTCACAATCTTTTTGTACAAGACAAAGATGTTGCTCAGCGGACAGAGAATGTTTATAGTGTAGGTGTTAATATTTAGTTTTTTGTGTTAAGTGCTGCAAAAATTAATTTAAGATAACGAGTTACAGTATTAAGAATGGCTTATTAAAGTGCCTACTAATATTTGTCGAAGGTCCTGATAGTAGTTTGAATTTTTTGTGACTGCACCCTTACCAAATTGTTTTTTCTTTTTGGAAGGCAAGTAATTGTGCACTGTACACCCAAAGAGATACTACACTGACAGAGTAGACCCTACACGATAAAACAATTTAAAGATCAGAGATACTCTGTTTATTGTGAAATAACATTGTGGAAGAATCTGATGAGAAAATGCTTGAGGGGGATGCGAGGTTATACATTATTCTTCTAGATTAATTGCATTTCACAAAAGTCAAGTACATGTGTACCTCTGCCATTCCTAATTTTTTTTTTTTTTTATTCAGAATGAGTATGAACCATTGAGTTTTGTTTTAAACATGCTCTGTAGCTTTCCCAAGGCATCAACTGTCTCTCCCAATGTTGCTGTTAAAACATGATTGGTCCCAAATTACACAAATTACCATTCATAACCTAGTATTTTCCATGCTCAATGAGTTAGGTTCACTGAGCAAATTTTTAATTAGAGCCTCTCATTTGACAGACAACTACCAAATAACCCTGTGTAAAGAGATTTCACTACATCTAGTTTTTTCCCCTCATCCCAGCTTCGAAACTTCATTTTTCAAGATAGCAGAGCCCATACCTGGGTGAATGAAGAATTTTGGTTTAAATATGCTCAATAGCTTATGCAAGACATTGTTTCTCCAAGTGTAGCAAATATCTGTCTATAAAATGATTAAAATGTAATTGGGGGCCATATTAAAGGAGTTACGATTCATACCATATCTGAGGATACCAGGTAGTATAGAATTAATAAGGATGTCAACAAAATTTGACCCTCTTCACCCCTATTAGAATCAACTATGAAACCAGGCTTCAGTCATGGTTTTGTATTGTGAGGAGCACCCTCACCAAGAGCACTTGTTGAGCTGTCAGCTGTCTTCGTCAGAGGTAGTGACAAGATGTTTCTGTCTGAAAGTGTCATTAATCAGAATCAAACACACTCCCGCTTTGGTCTAGTGATTAGGGACAACTATAACCAAGTCACATGTAGACATCAGAAGCACATTTATTGTCCCCTGTAGAGTAGTGATTAGTATCCTCCCATGCTCACCTTGCAAATGAGACTGTCCTAAGTTCAGATTGGGATGATTAGGTACTTTACCTTCAGTGTTCATCCCAGTGCATCCAAGACAAATTAGGGACCTAGATTTAAAATTACTGATGGATTGTTGTCTGGGGAAAACCCGGATTAAAACCTTTCTCCCCCTTCCTGTGAGTTTACAAGTTTCTGTTACTCTCAGCACTATTGTGGTTTTAGGAAATATCTGTACATACTGTCATAGTACAGTACCTCTGACAAGATGGGGGACCTGTTCTCGTTGAGCCCACTGTGAGATGGTGGCTCTTGGGTATAAATTTAGGTAAATACTGTATGTATAACATTAGATTTGTGTGGTATTTTTTCAAATTATTAAAATACAGTACAGTAAAAATGACTTTGATGAACTACAACTTTTAATGTCATTTTCAGAAATTTAAGCTGATGTTGCTGAAGCGTGATGACAGTTCAAAGAACATCCTGCTGAATTACCTACGCAAGATCAATGACCATCTAGGTGAGAGAGGGACCCGCTTCCTCACAGGGGATACCATGTGCTGCTTTGATTGTGAACTTATGCCAAAGTTGCAGCATATTCGTGTTGCTGGTAAGTAAGAGTTCAAATTGTGATTTCCTTCCAGCTATCAATATACCTGAAGTACTCGCAGATTATTTGCCACTGTTTTTTTTTTATTCTGTTAGGTTTAGCTCAACATTGATGTGAATAGAATACAAATGTTTTTAAAAATGTAATTTTATTTAAATTTTTGTATGCTACTTATTAAAGTTTTATTGACCAATGGTATTGGTTAGGCACATATACATAACCAGTTGGACACAGTAAAATTTGGTTTTCTACGGTAATAATCTCGTCACTCCTGCACTGTTACCTCCTGGTAATGTTGTGTATATTCCATAGTCATGCTCTCCTTAAACATTATTCTGTCTGACCTCAATTACATGTATGGTTATCTAAACACTTTCCATCTGCATATAAGGACTAACTTTTTATATATATTCTAGATCATTTTCTGGGTCATTTGATAGATTCCTAATTCATCTAATCCAAGGGCAATTACCCAAGTGCAATTACAGGATTAGAGCTAAACTCATGGTGTCCCATCTTTCATATGATCTTTGTAGTACAGTATATTGCTTTGAAATTACTGATGGGTTTTCACAAGTCTCTTCTCACTTAAATTGTTCTATCTACAGCTCTGTTCATCCATGTGAGAGTTCATTACTGAATACAGTCAAATCTTCTTTACAGGTAAATATTTTGCCGACTTTGAGGTTCCTGAGGAGCTGGAACACCTGTGGCGGTACATGTTCCACATGTACCAGTTGGACGCCTTCACACAGTCCTGCCCAGCAGATCAGGATATCATTAACCATTACAAACAACAGCAGGTATACATTATATGTCTAAATAATTTATGAAATTTTATTGGAGGCATTTCCTTGCCTACATTTATTCTTCCGTCCAACATTGATATAATTTGTATTGCAGGGCAATTGTTTGACCATTTTTTTTTTTTTAATATGCAGTACAGTGCAACCTCGATTCGGCGAACTATTTGGGACCAACCCAAGTTCGTTGCGGTGAGGAATTCATTGCAACAGGTGATTTCTCCAGGAGGCATTTGCATCAATGTCTATTTTTGTCTTGTACACAATAAAAATGCATTATATTATATACTGTACCTATATACAGTATTACTATTCTACTAAAAAATACTGTATCAGTTATATTTACCTTATTATTAGAGTTATGTCATTCTTGAATTCTCGTGGAGTTGTGAATACTGTACAGTAAATACGTACTGTATTATGCAGTTAGCATTGTATTGATTATTTAGTTCTGCTGTATGCTGAGTACTATAATACAGTTTATGAAAACTATTGTACACTAAAATTACTGCAACTTTAATTTTAACACTTCAACACTATGTACTTAAATTTAACACTTGTACACTCCACACACGATGTTCTTAGATCACACACGATGTTCTTAGATGTCTGCATCAGCTCTGCTGGCTGCTGTTGTACTGGTGCTATCTATGGCTGTGCTCTTGCTGGGTACAGCTGAGCTGGTTGATTTTCTGCTACTAGTTCTTGCAAAATATTGACTCATTTTGGTTTGTTCTTCCTTTTGTCATCTCCTTGAGACAAATATCTTTCATTATCCTTAAGTGTTGCTAGAAGCCTGGTAACTCTGGATTTTCAGTTTGTGAAATAATATCAAGGTGTTTATCAACATGGGTTGATAACTCCTCTTCCTCTCCGTCGTCATCAACAGTCGTCAACATCTTGTTTTATAACAATACAGCTGTAGTTAAAAAATGGTAAATTCCACAATATAATCTTGCACCAGCGCACAACTCGCAGACAAAGCCAATGGCACTGGGTGCCTACTGTATGAACTCTGAGGAACTAGGTCTATACACCCTACAGTAGGCTACTGTTTGCCAGATCCAGTAACATAAATTTCTCTCAAATATTGGATTTACATATATATGTTTTTGGGTTATATTTTAAGTTTCGCAACATTATTAGGATACTAAGAGCTATAAAAATACTTATTTTAGAAATGATATATTAATTTTAATATTTTGAGGCTGTCACTCACTGAACTGTTGTAACACATGTGAAGGATAACACACATGGTTCTGTGTGCACAGGGATTAGAACCGTCCACCTGTGCTCGAGTTGTTTTGAAAGTTAGAGCCATTAACATAAATAATTTCTGAAATAGCAGATGGCAATCATATTACAGTATACTGATATTTACAGTATATTACACGGCAATGCATCAAAAGGAAAATCGTGTGAGACTTACAGTATTCCCTATATCTGTCCACCTCTACTCACGTTGTTTCATCACAGAAAATGTCTATAACGAGATTTCACCACATACAGCTAGCTTCTCACGCTTCAGCTTTAAAATTCATTTTCAAAGCTAGTGGTGCCATAAATCAGTGAACAAAAATCATGGAAACTCAGTTGTTCACTTGTTGTGTGGACCACTCAAGCTGGTGTTTGGTTTATGTACTTTTTGTGCTTGCGGGGGTTGAGCTTTGGCTCTTTGGTCCCACCCCTCTATGTGGTTCACTTGTTGTGTGGTCCAACTTGTCATATGAAGGAATTATTAATTGTAATCTGTGATATAATTGGGAAAGTTTTTCACCAGTCTGTGAACTGTTACAACATCTTAAGCAAATCCACACGTTCCCCCGCTTCAGCAAACCAGAGTTCATCGAAACTGGTAAATAAATCCAGCCTGAAAAGTGTACGTCTTAACTGGGTATTTGCCGAATCGAGGTTACACTGTACAGTATATCATTTTCTAAATTTTTTGTCAATCATAGGCATTGATGGCCCATATCTACGCAATCAATAATTTTTTCCTTCCATTTTGTTAGTATAGTATACTTACAGCTCTTCAAACAGCATGCGATTGCCTACTCGTCCTGTTGTCAGCCCACCTTAAAAATAAAAAAAAACATAAAATCTAAGAATTGGTATTTGGTCATTATACGTAGCTTTATGGACCACAAAATGAACTGTAAAACTAAGCAAGAGCTGGATCTGGCTGCTGGATTTGAAAAATTCTAAATCGATCATAAATAAATGTCCTAGGGCTGACCTTGGGATCCTACTTATTAAATAGTTACATTACTCGATCCAAATCTCTCACTACGACACTACCTTCTGTTTGTCTCTCACTACGACACTACCTTCTGTTTGTCAAAGTACCCCAGTCAGTTTTGAATTCCCTTCCCAATACACTACTTTCTGTGAGGTGCTGCTGTATATTAAGTCTACTAGCAGTCTTCTGCAGTAATTGGTTAACCCAGTCTTCCCTTCCCTTTCCTGCCAAATCACCATCAATCTACTACATTGGCTGTTTTCCATCTACTGTATCTGGTATATTCAGTCTTCTGTGATGAAGACTGAAGTACAGCTTTATTAGTCAATTACTGGATTTCTTGCCCAGTCTTTTAGTAACTATGATAACATCCTCTCCAATCAGATTGTGTTTTCTGTATCCAGTTCTGTCAGGTGCTTCTCACCTCTCTTGTTGCTAAGGCTTGTTGGAGTGGCACATGTTGTGGCTTCACTTCTTCCAGTTCTGGCATTTGTCATTTAATTTTAAAGAGCACTTGGTCTTTTCTCGAGTTACTCTCATGTTTCCTCTGATGTTCTCGTAAAAGAATTGTATTGGAAAATTACAGGTTCTCTTGATATACATTATATCTTCTGTCAACTAATTTTAGTTATCAATATCAAGTGAAAATTCAAGTAATGCTCAGGGTATATTCATATTAAATTACATTTACTTCATTCACACTACTAAATGATATTCATTTAAGCTAATTCACTTAGTATTACCACCAGATATCCGTTAATAAAAAATCTTGATTGAGTAATTGAGGTCACGATTAAATAAATTGCCAACTAGTTGAGGCATTCGCTACGCAGTGTAGCTTAGCTGACTTAGTGTAAGGTACTGTATGTAGTTCAGAATACATTGTGAGATGAAATTAACAAATTATGAACAACAGCGTCACATTTTAAATATTGTGGTTAATTTATATGGAGCCCTTCATTAGTGTGTGTGTGTATATATATACTGTAACATATATATATATCTGGTCTTTGTCCAGAAATATAACTTAGTTTTACTTTCAGCTTCAGCTTTTAAAATAAAAATCTTATTTTACAGGGCACAAGGATGAAGAAGCATGAAGAGCTGGAAACGCCAACGTTCACAACATCCATACCCGCCACCATCCGCCCTTAAGTGCCACGTTCAAACAATATTTGCCAGGTGACGCTTGGCACTCACTGTTGTGGCTTTCTGTGCAAATTATGTAAATTGGTGAAAGGTAATACTAACATATCCCTGCTCGATAAATTGTCAGGCAACGTAGTTGACCATGACAAAAAAACAACTTGGATATCTTCTTGTATCTGAAAAAAACTATGTTGATTTTTCTAATTATATTACGTGTCTGTATTTATGACACTACATTTCAGGTGTATGTAAATAGTTCATTTCTCCCGATTGAAGAAGTGCTAAGCAGTATCATTTGGACAGGTTATATCAAAACACAACACGTAAGAGCACGGTGTAATTGTTAATGCTACCTCCCATCAAGGTATTCTCCAAGTCCATAATTGGACAGATAAGAAAATATTATACTCGAGGTCTTGTTTGACCCAAATTTTCACTTTAATATTAATAAAAATCTTTAATATTTATCTGTAACTGACTAAAATAATCTCAGTTTTTAAGGTCAAACATTATCTTAGCATTCCCTGCCTAATATATAGAATATGACATGAAGGGCTATTGAAGGAATTGTGAAAATTAAGAAAGTGAAACTTTGTTTTGTGCCTTGTTTATAGCCTTTATTTTTTCTGTTGTATACTGTTACAATCTGTTAATGTTCTTTTGCTACATTCTGTCTTTTGGGATTCATTAATTTTCCACCTACATATATTTTGGAACTCCTCATTGGCAAGTAATTTTCAAAGAATTGTTTACAGCATACTTTTTTAGCTTCACCGAGAGGTTTTCCAAACTGTACATTACCAAAGTGTCTCGTCTTTCATCTGATTCCTGGGTTTCACTTTTGAAATAACTCCTATCCTTCAGTTTTCTGATGTGTAAATACAATTCCCAATATTGCAATATATCGGAGAGAAGACTTATTCCTGTATATTAGTTTTATACAAAATGGAGTCTAGAAGTTCAGTATGATTTTGGGGGAGGGAGGCGATGGGGGAGGGAGGGAGGTCTTGTGACACTTGGCAGTCAGTCATGTTACTTAAAAAGTGTCTTAAGTTAAAGCAAATTATTAAGTTTTGGAAGTATTTAGAATCACACCTCATGCATTTGTAATAATAATAATAGTAGTAGTTATTGGCACAAAATAATTGTGTATAGGAATAAGAATTAAAGCTTGCATGACCGTTGTTGTAAACGTAAGCTTCTCGATACATGAGGTGTGTGTGTGACGGCTTCTTGTGGTGAACAGAATTTAGGATGGAACAAAACAGTTGAAAAAGTTCTGTTTTTTTTCTTGGTCACACCAGTTAGAGTAATATGAGAAACATTTGAGTTTTGTCATATTCTGGAACCACTTTTCACAATTACAGTAAGCAATCGAAGTAATACTGTACTAGCCTGCTCTTTGTTTTGAGTTAGAATTTTATTAAGTTTGTTAACAATATAGTTAACATGTTTCCACATGAACTTATTACGAATATATGCCTTCTTATTGTGTAAGCTTTTTAGAGCTGCAAGTATGCAACAATTTTTAAGATCTTAAGGATCTTTAGAACTTTGTTATCATACATGGGATTCTGAAAAAAATGTTAGCCTGGGTAATTCATTGTAGGCTTGATAACTGACAAGTTAAATACTTTCATTGTTGAGTTTTAAGCATTTATACATCAACAGCCTTTTGATCAAGTTGTCTATGGCCATGAGTGTTCTTAATGGCTCTTGATTTTTACAGATTTTTAAAGATATTGGAAAATAAACATCAAATGATATGGGAAGATTTTGTTTCAATTTCCTTCAAATATTAATATCTGCCTACAAATCTATATAGAATCACACGGTTGATGGTGCCTTCACATAGTGAGTGGCACTCTTATGTGCTACCTGTGGGTAGGAGGGGGTGGCTTCTGCTCCACTCCTCTACATGGTGCGGTGATGCACAAGCAAAATACACCCTTATATGTTAGCCATGTATGAAAACTCGCACATTCCCTTGGATTCCTTCCTTTAGGAATTGAGCCTACCCAGTAGCAGCAGCCCCTGGGGATGCAACATGCTTCTTTGGTGGGGGGAATGGGTAAAACAAGAGGTTTAGTGTGGCATACCTGAATCAATTGGCTTGTCTGGTTAGTTCGCCTAGTTTGACATCGGGTCAAGTGGGCATTGTGGGGTTCATGTTCCAATCAATCTCTGGGATACTGTTCGACCCTTCAATGGTAACCCATGTATACTATTCCAGTTTTCGCTAATGAAGGACAAAACAACTAGGCGGGAGGCTGCCTCCTGAGACGGGGCCGCAACTGAGCAAGTCCGAGTGAGGCTAAAAGCAACGTGGGAATATACAATCAACCAAGTCTATATGGATACGTACATCATCTGGGCATGTATGTTCATCGTGACCAGGATCAAAATACTTAAGCCACACAGCTGTTCCAAATAAATCCTGGAATGTAGCAGTGCTAGAAGGAATGAAATAGGAGTGTGGAGACGGCACCTTAACCCTTATTAAGGATAGAGGGTAAATGCACAGTTGTCACAAGATTGGAAGCTACCCCAGGAGACGAGGGGTAGCCTCATCTCCCCAAGCTCCCAAGCCCTCCCCAAAAGCTCCTCGTTGAACCCCAAGCCCCCCGCTGGCGGGGGGCTTGGGGTTCAACGAGGAGTGGGAGGGAATTGGCGAGGGTCAACTGGGGTAGTCAAAGACCAAGCCTGGCCTGGGCACACCACACAGCCAGAGCTATGGAGTCCGATCTTCCGACATATTCCAACTCGAGGGCCCTGGTTGCCCAACCCACGAGTCGGAGAAGAGGAGATTATGGTCAGAAATAAGTACACAGATAATCAAAAAAAGACTGCTACCCAGCACCTCTACCCACTATGGAACCAAAGCAGAGGCACATGGACAAGCAACCTCAGGGGAAAACTGGAGCAGTATAAGTGGGTCACCACTGAATGGCCGAACGGTGTCAAGGGATCGATAGGAACACCAACCCTACAACCCCCACTTAACCCAATATCTAACTAGGCGAGCTAACCTCACAAGCCGATTGATTCATGTGGGCCACACTGAGGGGAGGGAGGGATTATCAGGGGAAGTGCCAAGCCATTACGTCTATACAGCACTTGGAAGAGGGGTCAGGATAAGAATTTGGGATGGGATGGGGTGAAGGGACGGTGCCCAACCACTTGGACGGTCGGGGATTGAACGCCGACCTGCATGAAGCGATTTTTTACCTCCCGTTTTACCCCTTGCCCCCTCCCCCCAGGAAAGACTGCTGCTGCTGCCCCAGGTGCTGCAGACAATACCTACTCACTTCCCAGCTTAAGGATCGTTAGAGAAATCTCGGCTTTCCATTTCCGGCTAAGAACTGGAGATGTATTCCGAGAGGGTAGCAGGAGAGGAGGGAATTATCAGGGGAAATGCAAATAAACATAATTTTATTAAGATTATAAGTCTGTCTTATATTACTAATTACTGTCTTAGATTACTAAGAAGTAAGTCTGAGCTCACTAATACAGAGCATTTGGGATGGATCCTGAGTCACGCGAATTTGCTCAAATAATAATTCACTGTGTCGGGGACATGAAGCCAATGTATTCATACACGTTAGGCTTATATCGAGGTCAGGCCCCCCCCCCCACCAAGGTCAAATTCCTGACCCCGCCCAGCATACAACTCCAGAACAAAACTCCTGAGTACCTACTTACTGTTAGGTGAACCGGAGCATCAGGCGAAAGGAAACGTGCCTAACCATTTCTGTGGGGATTTGAACCCGGAATTATCGATTGTGCGTCGAGAACAAACCCGACAATACCACTGGGACCAATTAAAAACCTTTCCCATGCCGGGAATCGAACCCGGGCCTCCTGGGTGAAAGCCAGGTATCCTAGCCACTAGACCACATGGGACATGATACAGTTATCATCAAACATAAATTATAAGCATTCAGCAGTTTTAATAGCATTTATTTATATATTTATTTATTTATATGTACAAGAGTTCTTACATTCTTGTAGAGTTTCGGGAATAAATAAAATTAAATTACAACACCATAAATGTTTAACTTACCTTGATCACTGGAGAAAAAGTATGTACATTAACCTAAGTTTTAGTCTTAGTGTTTTTTCTGCTCGAAACGCTCGAAACGTTTGCCCGAAACGCATTGCGTAATAGTGGCTTTAGGCATTGTATGTACTAGCTCTATCTATATATCAATCCATTAATGTAACATCACTTGTATGTATATACCTTACCTGAATAAACATCTGAATCTGAATCTGAAGTTTATTTATTTATTTATTTATTTATTTATTTATATACAAGAAGGTACATTGGATTAGAGAGAATACATAGCACAGTATTTACGATCTTGTAAAGCCACTAGTACGCGCAGCGTTTCGGGTAGAAACGTGGTGGCTTTAGGCATTGGCTTAGAAAAGTGGCTTTAGGCATTGTATGTGTTCCGAACCTTAATGAAATCTGACCCATATATCAATCAGGTCAACCCATGTGTTGCGTTTCCAAACGGGTCGCCCATGTTAGAATCGGTGAACGCCCTAGTAATATTGTTGAAAACATCTTAATAACTTATTAAACCAAAGGTCTTTTTATGTCAGAAGAACGGCAGAAACTGGATCTATATATGAAAACTCTTTCAGGACAAAATTTAAAGTAAAACTAAAGATATTTGTAGTTGTATAAAAGTTGCATTTTTCATGGTCGTAGAGCCGGAAATCCGCAATATTCATCTCAGAACAATGCTTATTTCACGCAGAATCGTTAATAAACGTAAGATTTTTATACGTCTCAAGAAAGATAGAAACATAATCTTCATTTTAAATGCCTTACCATGGGCATATTTGTATTTAAAGCGAAGATACGTGTATTTTTCTAATCGGCGAGCTCCAATACCGCACAGATCGAGCAACGGAGTAACTCTCTCTCAGAACAATGCTTATTTCACGTAAATTCGTTAATAAACGCAAATGTTTTTATATGTGTTGAGGAAGATAGAAATATAAGCTTCATTTTAAATACTTTACCATAGATATATATAAAGTTCTAATGAAGATACATGTGTTTTAATAATCGCCGAGCTCCGACCCCGCACAGACTGATCGACAGAGCAACTCTCTCTCAGAACAATGCTTATTTCACCCAAATGAGCCACAGAGATATTAGAAAGAATTTTTTCAGTGTCAGAGTAGTTAACAAATGGAATGTATTAAGCAGTGATGTGGTGGAGGCTGACTCCATACACAATTTCAAATGTAGATGTGATAGAGCCCAATAGGCTCAGGAACCTGTACATTGACGGTTGAGAGTCGGGACCAAAGAACCAAAGCTCAACCCCTGCAAGCTCAAATTAGGTGAGTACAACTAGGTGAATACAGATGAGGGGCGGGACCAAACAGCTGAAGCTCAATTCCCTACGCATAACTAGGCGAGTCCATAGGAATTAACGTTTGTCCTGGCGCCATCTATGTTTTGACAGCAGTACTACTAATGTTCCCACGTTATGTGATGATCGCTATAGGGTGTTACGGTCAGTTGCTCTTCTATATATGTTTATGGCCAACGTAGGTGATTTGAGGCAATTTGCGGCCAGAGTGAAAGAGTATCCCCGCGGTGAGTGATGGAGGAGGATATATACTGCTGTGTACTCGACCAGCGGGTGAGAGGTAAGTTATATCGAACAATTATGGGGAATAGATGGGTTATTTTAAGCGTAGAATGTCAGGTAACCGGTAACTACACAGATGGGGTAGTGTTTTTTTAAGTCTTTATTTACTAAAGTGGAACATTACATTATGCCTTTAGCTGAACAAGTCTACTGGTGGGGGAAGTAGACGGGTTTTATGAAAGTATTTTACCTAAATATTTGTATTTGGTTAACTAGTTCAGCCGTTATCAGGGAGGGTGTTCCTTTAATCTAATCTAAAAATTCTAGCCGGACAAAATGATTAAAGAAATTGAATAGAACGAAGTGGTTTGCCAGGGTGCTTAACATTTAGTTTAGTTCACTTACTATGCAGCCCATGCTTAAAGAATGCAAGTTTATCATATTGAATTTACCGTAGTTTTACTGCATTTAATATACCGTTTTTACCCTATTTAATTATGTCGGGTAAAGGCCGGTCGTGGAAAGTTCCTAATATAGCAAGTTTTAAAGGAAAAGTTTGAGTTAACTTTAACGCTTAAGTTAGTGACCAATTAGCTTAGTCTATTGTGAGGAAAGTTACTAGAATCTAACATTGTAAGTGCCATTTCTCTACTCTTTTTGAGAAACATGACTAGATACATGAATCGCATAGTTTTATTACTAAATGTTCATGGATTAGGTTGCATAGTTGAGGAAATGGTGATAAGGTTTGTGATTTTGTGTACCTTGACTTCAGCAGAGATATTGATAGTGGCGCAAAATTGATAGGGGCTCGGATCATTGGGAATGCTGACTGAAGTTGATTAGGTCATGGCTATACCAAAGGAAATTAGTATAAATGGGGTTAAGTTGAGAGAAGTGTTGTAAGTAGTGCCTAAAAGCTCTCATTGGACCTCGGTTATTCGCAAGATTATGGTCTAGACTGCAATAGTTGCAGAATTGGCAAATAAAAAATACCGATGCCCTATATAGTTTTGAAATGGTTAAAATTACCAGATGCAGTTTAATGCTGACAAATGTAAGGTTTGGGGGCTAGGTAAAGATGAGATAGATGTTGTAGATTAAGAGTATTAAATTTTTTGCAGGTGGTAAATTCTCCCCGAGCTGGCACTGCT